CCACAAGTTTTCATTGGCAGCATGTGAACCGATTGGAAAAAACGTGAACGTCGGTAGAACTTGAATGTTAGCCGACTTGAAGTTGCTCAAATATGACGTCTTATAGAGACTTAAAAAGGTGGTAGTTGTTAATAAAGGTCCAATTGACGTTCTTTTTAAGTGGCGTTTAAATTTGGTCCCCATACTTTCGATAACTTCCCATGTTAATGGGTGTCCTTTGTCTAGTTGGAAATAACCGTTAGTTAAGTATCCTTGCTCACTCGTTCCATTAGCTTTGCAAGTTTCATTTTTGGCCATCACGGAATCCATATTCCGGTTTTTATTTGTCATTACTATAGTGTTGCGCAAGTTGGTCAACTTTTTCAGAATGATGAAATCTAAATCTAGATATGTACCCCCAAATTGATAAATTATAAGCTGTCGTAGCATATCGGCGAAATGTTCAGCTGGAAAATCACTGTTTTCTACTTCTGTCGTGGCTTTTTCCAAAGGAGTATTATTTGCCAAAGTGGCAAAATCATAAGTGAAAAAATTAATCCGCAGCTTTGAATATAGGAAACAGGTCGCGTTGTTTTTTTGCACTTCCAAGACATCTCTGGACATCAAAACGACGGGTATCTTTCCTGAATTGCGATGAGTTGATTCAACCGCACAAGCTTGTCGAGGGGTAAGATATGACAAGTTGCCTGTATTCAGGAAAAATGCTGGATTGGGAGGAACATCATTTTGTTCTATAATTCTGAGAGACAGATTCTTGTGACAGTCACGAGCTTTGGACAACGAATTGTCCATCGAGACTGATGATGCTTTTAGTTGATTTCTCCTTCTATTTGCTCGCGCTTTGTTCCACACAATTAAGCCGAAGAAAATACGAACCGTAAACAAAATAATCATGAAAAGTATAAGGAAATAAAAACGACGCTGCATATTTCTGGATCTCATGCGAAAGACCCTTTGTACCATTTCAGGAAGTCACCTAAATCAAATGTTAAGTTCATGACTTTGGAGATCAAAATAACAAATGATATAAAAACCGTTACTAAAAACGCATCAGAAAGAAATGAAAAAATTATCTTCTTTGTAGAAAAAATGCAAAAAAAAGGTGAAATATATTTTCGAAGTAATTTTGATAACCTTGAATCAGTAGATTCGCTTTTGATTCCATTACTTTATTGACATTTTCTATGATTACCTGCAAAAATCTTAGTTGCTAAAATGATTGGTACTTTTTAATCCAAGATGTCTATCGAGGATCTTCGCAGGGGGGGGGGGGGAGGCGGAGGGGTGGGTGGGGTTTGGGTGCAACTTTTGCAGTTTGAGGAACTTTCAGAAAATTGTTCATAAATTTCTCGCCCTTTCTTTTCAGTATTATCATATTGATATTTTTTAGCTCCACCAAAACACTTCAATGGATTTTCTTTTGTACGCCGCAGGCAACAATTTGAGCCATTTTGAGAATGCACAAAATAATACACGGAAAAAATAATTTTTGAGAATAATTTGAGCCGCTTTGAGAAAACAAAGTTACGTCTTTTGGTACCTTTTGCAACTAGTAATCCTTTTACATCTTTCAAAAAAGAATCGGAAATTTTACAAAAGGCTTTCGTGGTACCAAATTGATAATTATCTTTAACAAATTGTTAGATGCGATTTTTTTTCCAATTTGCTATTTTAAAATTCGTATTAAACAGTCGTATAAAATATTTTTAAGGCAGTTCGAATCACGGCAGTAATGACTTTATAATTAAATATCACTTAATTTCGTTTAATTTTTTTTCGAGGTAATTTTGTCTGAAAATTTTTTCAAAGATTCTCTACATTTTCGATATTTGAAAGAATTTTACCTGCATTTTTATTCTATAATGGCCCAAGAGAAATAGCGTATCGAAAGGGGTTATCAATTTTGGTTGTTTAATTTAAGTTTAATTTTGGTTTTACTGCAACCATTTACCGCTGACAAATATTTAAGTTTTACCAAAGCTTGGAAAACCGGCCGAACATGAAGATTGTAAAAAAAATTCTCATCTTGTTTGAGGTGTTTCCAAAATTTAGGGCTCATTATCTGACAATGAAAACAAAAAGCCTATAACTGACTACTGTTAAATGACGCAAAACAGTTGACATTGTATTTAAATTTCATTTAAAAGTAGAAGTTAAATAAAAACTGTTCAAAATTTGGGGCAATTTCTAGTTACCTTTTGACCATTTAATCAGTCATAAATTTTTTAACTCACTGTTGTCAAGTCGCTCATTGCTTTTTCATTTTCATTTTCGCATTTAAGTTTCTGTTCAGTTTTGAAGAGATTATATTTTTACCGCAAAAACAAACATTATATTGTATTTAGTCTAAGGATAAAAAATGTTTCTTCTCACGAAAAAGACAAAATTTGAAGCAATAAAATTGAAAAAAAACTGATTTGAGAAACCATGAAAGAAACTGAAATTTCATCAATCTGATCCAGATTTTGACAAGCTGCAGGCAGATTTTGACTAACGACCGGTACTTAAATTAGCGCAGAAAGTTTTTTCAATTTGAAGAGTGCTCATTACCCAATATACATTACCCAATATGCATAAATCCAAAAAAAATACGCGTCTTTAAAAAAGATACGAATATAATTGCGTTTTTATCTAAAGCATGCACATCTAATTTACACGTGCTCTTCTAGTTTTTTATAGGTTAGTTATATTTTTGCTACTTTTCAGCGCCAGTTAGTTCAATTATTAAAAAAAAACTAAATTTCATATGATTGATGCATTAAGCGGCTGACACAAAAACTACTATGACTTTAGTAATTTCTGTCAAAACTATCAGGAAAAAACCCAAACATTAAGCAATAGAACACTTCTTGAGGTTCCGCAGCCATGGACCTCCCGATAAAACCACAGAGAAACCCAAAGAACAATGGAGAAGTCCAGACAAAGAAATCCAAAAAACAAAATCACAGGGTTGCTTTTTGAACTAAAATGTGGAGGTTTTCCCAAAAATATGTCACATTGAAGCTATAGTTTTGAGACATTTTTTTTCATACAACAAACCCAGTGTACAAAGACTTGAAGGTTGAGTGATTTTTTAATCCTGCTGGACTTCTGTCATACACAGTTCATCAAAAGATCAGTGCGTGAAACTTGTTGTATGAACAAATCTAGTTAACTTGCTGTGAGCGTTCAATCAAGTAGAAAAAATTTTTTACATGCGCGCTCGCAAGTGAGCATTAGAGGTACTTTGAAAACATGTTTTAAAGTGAGAAAACAACGCAGGTGAAAAACCAGTGAAAGCATGAACACATGGATTTTTCGTTGACTGAAGCAGTTTCGCAAGTGTTTTCTTGCAAGCATTCGGGAAATTAAGTCACTATCTTTGGGCCAGTCAGTCCTCTGATAAAGAATAAATTCATTCACCTTTTTTGCATTATTTGAATTTTGTTTCTCAAGAGCGTTACCTAATTTCCTTTGAGCAAATAATTTTGAATTATCTTAAAATAAATCAAAAACTGAACCGCAAAAAACTCTAATTGGAGCCAAAACAATGTTTAAGACTTATTCTGCAAGAATATCAGACTACATCAGTGATAAATCCCTTCGTTCACGATCACTCATAAAGGTTCCATTATCACTAATTTAGGCATCTTTATCACGTCTATATTAGCCTTTTTTACACTAATTGTTCAAAATGAAACAGGAGCCTATATTCGTTTCCCGCCACTTGCGATATAAAAACATAGGTCGATGTGTCGAAGTAAAACATGAAAAAATAGAAGAGCAACTGCTACATATTTATAATCCAGGCTTTCACAAATGATATTTTATGGCAAAAATTTTCCAGATAAAAAAATGACTTAATTTTAAAACCAACGGCAATACTTCTCTTCGCAAACTCAAATGGAGACAATATCTAGAAAGAAAAATTAAAGAAAAAAGTATAATATCCTAAAAAAAATCTTTTTTAAAATACAAAAGCTCCGTAATTCCACGAGCTTTGAGCCTCAGACTACCCAAATATGAGCTTCTTCTCTTGAACATTTAAACGCTTGTAATATATCAGTTAAGTAAGAACATAGCCAACAGACAGTTGGAAAATAGTCAATGAACGCAATTTGACAGAAAAAAGAACTTTTGAAAAAAAACTGAAATTTTGCAATTCTCGAATAACTTATAATAGCAATTTTTGATTTAAAAAAAACCTATATAGAAGTCTGAACTACGTTCATGCTTAAAAAACTGTGGAGCAAGGAAAGCACTTTAATCAAACGAATATTTCGGTCAAGCTACTTGAAACAGAATGCAAATGGAAACTACAAACCCACAATTAAATTCCATGGATAATAATAGATTATAATGTATTTTCAAGGCGCGTCTGCGTAAAATTGTTAAATACTTGATAATAATGGAATAAGAATCGATTGTTTAATAACAGAAATCATCGACTATTAACAGAAATAAATTTAAACCAATAAAATCGATAAATGGGTATCGTTTTGCCAAAAATACATAATTGTGAGTAGGTTTAGAAATCGAGTATGCCGTATGGCAGAAACCAGTGCAAATTTACAAATGATTTGCAATAATTTTGTACAGATTATAATCCATCATGATGAATTTTAATGGATTATAATTGGTTTCAGTTTTTAGAAAAAATTGGACTATAATCGATTGCGTGGTGCCAAAGTGTAATTATAATCGATTATAATGGCTATACCAAAATCGATTTTATTCTCTAATTATCATTGAAACCTCAGCGCGGGAAGCCAACGCAAAAATAAACACAAAATAAACACAAAAAAATAACATCTGAAAACAAAACAATTCCTATGACAAACAACTTTAACTTCAAAATTTTTACTGAAACTTTCCAGCACAAAAAGATTTTATCATGAAGCTTTCCGTCTTTTCATTGCCTGCCTCAACAAAAAAAGTTGACCAAAATTTACAACTACACTAATTGCTCACGGTTCTGAATTTAAGAGACTAAACAAAAGCTTTAATTAATAATTCGTTCATTTGGAGAGCTACGACAACTTAACGAACATTAATATTTAAAGCACATTTCCAACAAAATTCCACAAAGTACATACATCGATTTCATTGAAACAAATCATCAAATTTTACAAGCAAACGGACAACCATGAAATTCAATTTGAGATCTAACAACAAATTTTAGCTAGAAAAGAGAATATTAACCATTCAAGTTCAGTTTGACAGTTTACTTGCGATCCGTATTTTAATCTTTTTAAATCATTCAACAATCTTGGCGTAAGCAACCTTGAATCCTAAGCGCTGCCGTTTTTTTCCAGACCAAAGAGCACCCCTGTCAATTGCAATGAAGCCGAAGCACATAATGTCGCCTATGACCTGATTGGTCCGGGTTCTTTTTACCGACTCCGATGCTGGGCGACCTGCATTTCAACCTCTGTTTCATCCATAGGTTCGTCTTTTATTCTAATCAAAACAGGCGCTTCTTTCCCCTTTGGTTTTTTGCCCTGACCCGAAGTGGAGGCGGTGCTGTCAGTTGTCGGGTTTTGTGACGAACTGACTTCGTTTGCAACCTCGTCGAAATCTTTGGGCTCTTCTTTGACTTTCACAACGTCATCATCGTCATCAACATGCGCGACAATTTCACTAAACCCAGGTTCTTTATCGCCCGCTAAACTCGTGAGTATCGAGTTTAATGATGACAAGCTATGCTGAGGTTTGGCAGTTTCGTCTTTCTTGTCATTTCTGCTAGGTGCACTTTCGCTCGTATTAGCTTTCTCCTTTTCTTCTGAGTTCGTCGATATAGAGAGCGGCGGTTCCTTGGCCAAAGGGGAATGTAGATTGGGTTCCCTGGTGGGCTCTTTTTGGCTTTGGGCTTCCTTTGAATCGCTGGAAGCGAAGTTGTTGCTCTCTGCCGATATACTGCGAGGCGTTGATGGTATGTTTGTCGGTCCATTTCCTCCATCTGTGAATTCTTTGTAGCAGAAGAAATGAACCGTCTAAAAATAAACCAATCACTTGCACTCTAGCATAATATTAATACTACCTTTAAGCTTCTTAGCTTTTTTACTGCAAGAAAAACTAAATCCAGCAATATGTTGAAAAATGTTATCTGATCTATTTTTTTTTAACTTCCTTCGGGAAAAATTGAATAACTAACCTTTCCCTCAACTCGAATCGCGTCCAGGAAGTGCCATTCCTCTGCTGTCACATGCCAGAACTGCTCAAAGTACTCGCGACAGATCTTGCATATCTAAACAATACAACTCACATCTTCAGTAGTTAAAAAACCGTTTAGCATTTTCATGCTCCTTAGAAACAAGTATCAGATATACCTTAATTGTATTACCATATTCTATGCGGTAGGCTCTTGTTTGCAATCAGAAGAATTTTCTATGAGTTTTTTAGAAGGCTTTGACCACGAATCACTATTTACAAATTAAAAAAAAAGACTACTTCAGCCCCGAATTCGTCTTTTACGTGCGAAAATGCATATCATAAATTAGTTTCAAAAAAGAAGTTTAGTATGTCGATGAAAATTGTTTCTTTCCTAGCTCTGTGCTGCGTTTGCTCATAAATTTTGTGTTAATGACTACATATTAGATTGTTGTCTGTGTTATTGACTACGACTCTTTAAGTGTTATTGACTACATAATTGAGATTCTTTAAAAGTTCGTACCAAAAGAGCGGGCAAATTCAGAAAGTCTCGATACAAATTTTGCAAACACACCTCATCATTGGGGATCTTTGAGTCGGCGCAGACACTCATCTTTTCGGCCTCAACAGACTCACTGCTGCTGGCCACGTTGTCATTGGCCGATGTCTGCATCATAGCACGAGCTGCCGACTCCTCTCCGAAGCCAGCCGAGAGTCTGTCGGCGTGGTCGGACAACACGAACCAATCCTCACACAGTGGGAACCACTCGCGGGAAGATCCCACGTATCCGTCGGCTTTGCGCTTCTTTTGCCGGAAGTGCCAGTCGAGATGCGCCGTGTACTGACTCTGTTTGTTGATGGGGTATCGCATCCCACACGAACTGCACTGTAGACCCCTGTACATGCGTTGGATAACTCCAAATTGGTACCTGCAATCACTTCATGGCTGACACAGGTCTGCATTAGAGCTTTGCAACAATAACAATACACCACAGAAAAGAATTGCAAGCTAGCGGATAAAAAACGAGACGGAAGCCACTAAGTAGAAAAAAACTATTTAAGAAAAAAATGTCGATTTACTTAAGTCCAGAAACATACGATACGGCCCAGCATTAAAACATTTAAGTCCAAGAACTTTTAATGCAAAAAAGACATAGCCAAAAAACAGTTGGAAACAAGTCCATACTATTTTTTTAAAACTTCAACTTTCCAAATTTAAAGACAACATTTATGGCCTTACAACTCTTTGAATTTCAAGAACAATTTATGATTGACACTGCTTCGATAAATTAATCAATTTGAGAAAACTGGATCAAAAGAGACTTTTATTTTTTATTCCACTGAGATATCTGAAAATTAAAATACAATTTCAAAACTAAAAGTCTATCTCGTTTTTCGAGGCCAATACAACTTCGTGGAGTTTGCCTTCCTTTTATCAAAAAATGAACTGAACGTTAAAACAAAACAAAAGTCAAACCGCGCCAAATTTGAGCGTGATTAAGAATTTTTCTGAAAAAAAAACAACAAAAACAATCATCGCAACCTGTATATGAGTCTTTGCTGCGTTTATTAACTCTTAGTAATAAAAACGGAAATTATACAAAAACTTGATGCTCAAATACTTGCATCTTTACAAATGTTCGATAATACACTCTAAAATGGTGAAAACTCCCGGAGTCTTCAAGCAAAGCCCAAGTTTTGGAAAGAAAGCCGACCAGCCAGCCTCCAAAAAATCGTCCGACAATTGAAATTTTCCCAGAAACAAACTCAAATTCCAGATATCAAAACAGTCTAGCGGAAATTCAAACCCCAGAAAAGACTCCCAAAGCACGCACTTTACCAATAGACCAAATAAGATGGGGAAAGAAATCTAGTTTTCGATGAAGTCACTCGCTCTCGAAATGGAAAACACCAAAAAAAACAAGGATAACCGGCTGCTGTGCAAGTGGCATAAAACGTTCCAATCACACTGATTTAAGAAAACATGGTCAACAGACTTTTGGAAAAAGTCAATAACGCAAGAAAACAAAAAAACTGACTTGTTTGTTGAATAACATTCAACGTTCAAATTTCACAGTAAAACATACGTCTTTAAAGCGAACTGATGCGAAACTTTACGCGCATGTTTCAAAAAATCAAAAACTTAAAAGTTCTTGGCTGATTATTTATCAAAAGTACTGACAGAAAGTTTAAACAAGTGAAATCAGTAAAATAAAATCTCCGTTTGATTAATTTCTTAACCTAAAAACTGGCATTTTGGAGAAATTGAACGAAGACCACAAAACGGATCAAAATTTCACTTATTGGATGTTTACAAGGTCCATAGCAGGTTTCATCCCAGAATTGGTAGAATCAAGCTATGCAATGGATACATCTACAACCTGTTCTATGCATTGAAAACTTAATTGTACAATTGGCACGGTAGTTTTCGAGAGTATCGAAACTGTGATTATTTCGAAAAATTAACTTTTTAGGTCCAAAACTGCTGTTGTAAAATAAAGAGAAAAAACAGTTGATTCAAAAGAAAAAATTGATAGCACATGTTCCTTTGATTGAACTTCAAATCTCAGATCGGCAAATTAATTTTTGAGAACAGTCTAAAAACTTCAAAACTTGACCTAATCTGTTCTTTTTATTGAATCATTTATATCAGATTTAGGGGCGTGGCTATCGAGAAAAATCATGTTTCCAAAAGAACTAGCAGATCTTCAAAAAAAACTACATTTGATTATGCAAAAACTTTCTTCGAAAAGTAGAAAATGCAGCTAGATAAAAAAAATCTGCAAAATATATTCTTTTTTGCAACCTTAATAACTGATTTGGCAAAATAATTTTTTGCAAAAAGTCTAAAAGATTGCAAAAAGAGCAAAACCTCAAAAATTTGACAATTTCCATGGCCATAAAATCAAAAATTAGTCAAATTGTCAAATATTCCACGTCTACACTCCATTGCTGATTGCTTGCCAAATTAAGTAGAGTCCTTTGATGCTGGGGATGTCCCTATACTTGATCTTCGATTTCACCCTTAATCTCAGATTTGGCCCGTAGTTCTCTAGAAAAAACAAAAAAATTCCAACAACCCGTCAGCATTTCAAAACTCGGAATTTTCTAAAAATAAAATTGATTTTCTACAGAAATATAGGCACAGCAAAAAGAGAGCAGAAAAATTGCAAGCACTTAAATGCTTCAATTCAAATCTTACTCACTGATTTGGCAGGGTAGTGGTAGTTTTCGAAAAAAAGTTCAAAATTTCAAAAAGTAGATGTTTTTAAGTCAAAACTGATTTTCTACAAATAGAAAATGCCTAGCAGCTTATGAAAACAAAAAACTGCTACCTTTTCTTTCGATTAAAACCTTAATCTCAGATTTGGCAGGTGGTTTTAGAGAAAAATCAGAAGTTTCCAAAAAAGGTCAACACTTCAAAAAAAGACAATTCATATTTCTATAATTCTTTCTATGAAAAAATAAGGGCGTAGCCGTTTTCATTTAAGCAAGGAGGATTTCTCTCGAACACCGTTCTTGCGATTGAATGTTTGATCTCAGATTTCTTTTTCGGCAAGGTAGATTTCGAGAAAAAGAAACGATCAACAGTTCAAAATTTGGCCATTTCAAGGCCATAATTAATTTTTACAGAAACAACGCGTAGCAACTTACGCAGGTAAGATTTCAATAACACTTTTTTATTTAAAGTCTGATAATTTCAGATTTGATGGGCTAGGTTTTGAAAAAATGAAAAAAAAAAATCCAAAAAATGCATAAAAATTCCCCCCAACTGCAATTTTTGAATGCTGTGTGATTCGGTAAAAAGAGACTAGCAATATATACGGCACTCAAGGAAGTAGACGGTCTTTTCCCCGGTCTTTTAAACAGTTTTGTGAAAATAATAGTGTCACTAGAAGTAGCACCAATATTTTCGACTTGGGTTAGAAAAAAGTGGACTTCGTATTAAGATGAGCTTGTGTAAAAAATGAAAAAAAAATGGAGTCAGAATGAATGTGAGTATGTGACAACAAATCTTCCTCAATATTCACTGAGCATCATGAGGAAATTTAAAACACTTAGCTACCAACTGTAAAAAATTTGCATGTCAACTACCGTTAAAACATGCATCTTTTGCGATAAGTATGACAGGTTTTACAATTTAATTTGTCAATGTTTATAACTTGGTTAATGATTTATGTTCACAAAATTAGTTGAGCTAGACATCAATGGTGCTCGGAACAATGACCTCTAGCAGAGAACTCGTCAGCAGAAAAAGCGATTAAGTAAACGAACAAATGGTTCGAGTAAAAATTTGCGTATTATTGTCAAGCAGCAAATAACAGTAGAACTTTAACGGTTAAAACATAGCCAGCAGACAGTTGGAAAAGAGCCAATGAACGCAAGAAAACAGAAAAAAGACTGACTTGTTTTTTGAATTCAAAACTAAAAAGTTATGGCATTGACCCTCTTTGAATTTCAAGACCAATTTATGATTGAAATATTTTTGGTAAAATTAACTCAAAAACCAAAAAACTAAATTCTACTATCGAAACTAGAAGTCTTTCAAGTTTTTTCGCGCCATTTCCACGTTCGTATTTGGAGAGTGCAATTTACCTATCTTTCAGCAGATGGATATATATTGAGCTCAACAAGTCCATATATATCTAAGTTCATTTATATACGCGTTAATGTATATGAATGCACATCTGCAATTATTAGATCATTTTAAGACTTTCTCCAAAAAAAAAACAACGAAAAAAATCACCAAAACCTAGTGAGAGTCTTCGCTACGTTTATTACTCTTAAAAATATACGGACATAATTTAAAAAAAAAACTCAACTTTCGAATTTCCAAAACAATAGGACAACTTTCGAATTTCCTTAAGGCTCTTAGAATTTCCTTAAGGCTTTTAGAATTTCCAAAGCAATTTATGATTGACATTTTTTCGATAAAATTAACCCAATTTGAGAAAACTGGATCTATAGGTGAAAATTTCATTTCACTGAGAAAACTGGTAATTAAATTGCTTTTGCGAAATTAAAAGTCATCACGTGTTTCGTGACCTTTACAATTTTGCTGTTCAATAGTGAAGTTTGTCTTCCTGTTAACAAAGGAAAAAAGCTGAACTTAAAAATAAATCAAAAGTCAAACTACGAAAAAGTAAACTTGTACCTAAACATTTTTTTAAGACTTTTCCTAAAAAACCATGAAGGCCTATATCAGAGCTTGAACTATATTCATCAACTCTCAATCACTTTCGATGTTTTATCGCATTTCAAAACATCTGAATACTGGAATACTGACTGTTTTAGAGACTCGATTTCGAAAGATATCTTCTCAATTTGAGCCAGTGGCTCCGTGTCTGCGTCTGGGGGTTTGAACTTCATGCTCTCATCCTCCTCTTCCTCTGCAATATCCACAGTTGCAGTCTGTCCACTATCAGCTGCATTAGTTGTGTCTTCATTGCCATCTGCCAGAGTCGAAGACGAGGAGATCATTCCTGCAACACGCCAACCAAAACTAACACTACAAACCTTTCCATGCATTTAGAGCAAGGATCGTGTAAACAAATTACTCATATCAATCAAAATTAGCAGCCAAGGCAACAAAAAGTAACTACACCAATATTTTAAACGAAATTTTTTTATTAACTCAAAAACAGTGCCTTTTGGTTTTCTACCGAATTCCGAGTGATCTTTACTAAGTCTTTAAATCTAACTTCCGTGCATGCTTAAACCTCAAAATTATTACTCTATCATTTTTGAAATTTCGATAATAAGCCCTAGTTTTGATTTTATTCACCACATTAAGGACCTACCCATATCAATGAGTTGATTGAAGAGTGAGCTCAAGTCAACATTCGATTCGTCCAAGGACACCCCTCCAAAACTCAACCGCTCGTTCACTGAGGGTGTGGGTAAAATACTCCCTTGGAGTCCACCAGGTCTCATCATGTGCTGGTTCGCAGGATTCCCAACCATTGAGTTTGGCGGCATCATTGGTCCACCACCAGAGTTCGGAGGCATTTTTCCGGGTGCTATGGCTCTATTGACTTGGGCTCCGGCGAACCTGGAGTCAAATGGCATCTCTTTGGGCCATGTGAGTCCATGCTGGTCATAGTACCTGTCCCACTCGGGCGAGTAGCCGTAGCCAGGTCCAAATTGATAAACTAAACATAATAAACATAGCCAATCGAAGATTGGAAGAGAGTAATGAACGCAAGTTAACAAAAAAACCACTGACTTTGTTGAAAAAATCTCAATTTTCGAATTTCAAAGAAAAAAATAGAAGCCCTTTAAGCTCTCTGAATTTCTAGAACGATTTATGACCGGCGCTTTTCTGATTACATGAACCCAACTTGAGAAAACTGGACCAACAGGTAAAGTTTTTATTCCGCTGGAAATCTAAAAATTAAATTCCACTTTCGAAACTAGAAATCCAACTAGTTGAACCAACTACTATTTGATTACTGTCACCGGTGGTGAATTGGTTACTTCTCTGCCTTTCAATCGAATACTCTCTGCCTTTATACACGAATATTGATACTGAACGCATAACTTGAACACAGAAAATTGCGAGCTAGATAGGAGAAAGTAAAGTGGTCTTAAAAAGAAACGGTGCTCGTGTAAGTAGTATAAGAAAACAAATATTTTGCTTGGAGACTTTATATCAAGATCAGGGGCGGATCTAGGATTTTCTCGAGGAGGGGGGGGCGGATTTTCGAAAATTTTGACGACCTTTTTTTTTATTAGGTCAACCAAATTGATTTTTCGAGCTCTCCCAAAGCACGGTTTTGTCCCAATTTTGGCCAAATTGTTCGCGCCGCAGGCAAAATTTAAAAAAAAACAGGCCAAAAAAGGCGTTTTTAGGCACTTTTTGGAAAATTTTGACCGAAAAATTGCGTTTTTTCGGCGCGCGGTCCCCCCCCCTCAAAATTAGTAAATATTGGCGCCAAAGGCGCCTTTAGAAAAATTTTAGGGTCGGTCGGCCAAAAATGGATTTCTTAAAAAGTATCAAAGGGGGGACCCTTTGGGTCGGCAGGGGGTCGAATCCCTGAGGGGTAGGCGTCCGCCCCCCCCCCCCCTAAATCCGCCCCTGATCAAGATATTGGTTAGAGTCATAGAAAAAAAAACAAAAGCGTACTTTCGGTGGGTGGTAAATTTCGAGGCAGCTCTTTCTGATTGATTCCTGGCGGAGCAGGAAATTCGGGTGGTCGCGGGGGCATGGGTGCCGTCGGAGGGCGATTGGGTAAAAACTGTGGGGGACGCATGGACATATTTGGTGGAGGAGGAGCGTCTTTTCTCTCGCCGCCGAACCTCGGTGGTCCAATATTCCTCCATCTAGGGTCTGGCATCCTTCCCCCTCTGTAAGGCGGAGGTGGCATTCCAGGTCTTTGATTGCCCATGGATGGGGGCCCTCGCTGGTTTCCCATGAACTGAGGTGGTCTTTGCCTGAATCCCCTCATCTCCCCACCCCTTAGGGGCGGGCCTCGAGGAGGGTGCCCGAATCGACCACCGACAGAAGGATTCTGTCCTCGATTTCCCCCCGGCCACTGTCTGAGCTGGTTCTCCATCGGAGGCCTGACTGCAGGAGTGCGCACTGAAGCATAGAGTGTAGCATTATCATACGCTAAGGCGTTATTATCCTACTAAGCACAATTTAATTGCGTCTATTTTGAACCAATTTTGAGCCAGCAATTTATTGGAAACTAAAGATGCATTAATGAAACATTTCGCTTTTACGCATTCATTATGACCAAAAGAACAAGAAAAAAAAACCATATTTACCTAGACGTCCGGGTGAATTCCTCAGGTCGAAATCAGTCGATGCCTTTTTCTCGGTGTCTAAAACAAAAAAATTTGTTAATGAAGTAATTCCTACTGCCTGTAATTTTCAACAATCAATTTCAATCAAAACCACAATAGTTTGGCGCGCAACATGACCCGTTCTCGGGGAGAACTGTGCGTGTAATCCAATCTTGCAAGTAAAACAAGGTTCGTAGACGAGAAAAAAAACCATGTTTTCGTCGGCGATGAAGCTACTGGATGTTTTTATAACTTGGTCTCTTCGTATTTCTTTTACTAATGATGTTTTCATATAATTTTGACCTTTAGCTCGGCATTTAGGCTTTTATCGGAAAATTTTCGTCGGCGATGAAGCATATTTTCGTCGGCGATGAAGCATGTTTTCGTCGGCGATGAAGCTACTAAGCTACTGGATGTTTTTATTACTTGGTCTCTTCGTATTTCTTTTACTAATGATGTTTTCATATAATTTAAACCTTTAGCTCAGCATTTAGGCTTTTATCGGAAAATTTCAGCCAAGGAAATCAAATTCGAGGACATTCAACAGCGTTCAACCGAGTTATTGCCGAGGAAATCATAAAAATTAAAATCTATCAAATTTAATCAATTCGAATTGAACGTTCATTGACACTTTCATAGTCTATATTCGAAGCTTATATGCGATTCATTAAATAGCATCTACAATCACAGAAGCATTCGCCTGAGAGATCATCGCAACTGTTAGACTTTCTATACAGTTTTGAGACGTTCCTGCAAAGGCTCCAGTGTTAACCTACCACTGCATTCACTACAAACATGCAGACACACACTCTCATCAACAATATAAGCAACCTTTCTCACGTCGTCTCTGTACTTCTTTGATCTGTTCCTGCAGTTCCCTGCACTGCTTAGCCGACAGCTTCCCACTTTTCAGCAACATCTCCGCCCTTGCATACACCTGTTCGGGAGTGATCACCTCCGGAACTCCAGTGCCCACCCGACGCATACCCGCAATCCGGATCGACTGCTGCTGCTGACTATTATGAGTCGCGCCTCCCCTGTTCGAGGGGTTGCTAGCAGCTCCCCGGATGCCCCTGTAGTCCACGTCTTTTTCTGAAGAACGAAAAGATGTTTATGGAGGACACTAAATCTAAGCACATCTGTCAGAATTCAAGTCAAGTTGTAATTCACAATTCAAGTCAAGTTGTAATTACACTAGCCATCAGGAATAATATTCGGACTCAATTTAGGCATAAGTTTGAGGTCCAATCTTAGTTTTTACCTCGTTTCCCACTTCCTATCCAAGACTTACTTCCAGTTTGAACATCGTTTTTGATAGGAATGAACCCCTCTTCGTCTGTTCTCCTAAAACAGTATGATAATAATCTCCATTCTAGAAATTTATTTAATTTTTTCCACTCAATTTATTCAATTCTAGAAAAAGCCAGCATACTTTGGTTTGCTGTGTGCTGCATTGGGCGCAGACATTCTCGGGTTTTTAGCTCCATTTGTATTCGAATTATTTGTCCGTTTGCTCAACAATTTAGCCGCAACTTCAGCTTGCGCTCTTCCTGTTCTCCTCTGATTTGGAACAAAACTCTTCGCTTTTCCTCCTCCTTGCTCCGTTTCTGCATTGACAGCGGTATCAGTTGAACTTTTTAGGCCTTCATCCGCACTATTTGAGTTACTGTTTTCTTTACTTTTCTTCACAGGTACATTGCTTCCATACTCTATACTTATTTCATCGCTCTTATCCCTTTCTTCTTGATTTTGTTTAGGGCTGTCACCCATGTTATTTTTCTTTTTCGCCGGCCCAGGGCTAGATGATCGACCCCTTTGAAAACTATCTGAAGATTTCCCTCTCGGGTCTTTCGCTTCACCGCTACTCGAGTTACCGCTACCCGACGGTCGCTTCCTCTTCCCTTCCGAGCCTGCTCTTCGTCTTTCGGGACTCCGTTCTCGTTCTCTATCCGAGGAACTTTTCTCGTCCTTCATGAAATTTGGCGGACTAGCTCGTTTAACTCTCCAGGGCGACAAAGGTCGCTTGGGTTGCTGTTTAGGAAATTTTTTCTTCGGTTGCTGGTCTCCGGGCCTACCTGTTTTAGCACCAGCGGGCCCTTTTGCATTGGCGGTCTTGTTTTTCTCGTCTAGTTTCACAGGACTGGGTTCGACTCCCGGTATCGGCGCAACTGCTGCTGCCGCTTTCAGCTGCTCTGGAGTGAGCTGTACAATTCCACCACCTGGCATTTGAACTTGCACCGTAGCGGCGACCGAAGGCGCAATTTGAGAAGCACTAGCAGGTACGGGTGGCATCGCGAAGTATGGAAACATAGGCGGCGCCGTGTTCGTGTCACCGGTACGTTCACTGGATAACGTTTGGCCGGCATAAGGGTATGTACTTGGTACTGGCATCATTGATGTCGCATTAAGGAGGGGTGCCGACACTTTCGATGCTGTTTGCAAGCCAGACATCTGTACTGTAGAGGTTGGGGCAGACGACATTTTTCCACGAAGTCTGGGATCCCTGGATTCCGCTTGATTGCTGGATTGTGTCATCAAACCAGCCTAAAAACAAATAGCTCAATCTTCTTTTTTTTCGGTATAAATATCCCAACCTATTGTATTTAATTTTTTTCTTCTAATCGTCGATAAGTATTACTCATATCGTTGAAACAAGTCTCGAAATCTTTAATTTTTCCAGCATTTAGAAATAGAAATGATAATTTTTCAAAATTTGTTACTTAAATACAAATGTTTTATGCAACTAACATTTGCATTTGAAATAGGAGCCGCAGGATGTCCGTAATACATTGCAGGATTAGCTCCCAGCTGATTTGCTAATGGCTAAAACGCAAGACGAATGATCATGATAAATACCGTCTATGAAACAATATAAATTTGAAATAAAAATCTCTGGTAAAAACTTTATAAACACAGAAGCGAAGCTGAGCTTCGCACCACTTGCGATGTAAAAAGTATAAAATTAAAACAGCATGAACCTCAAAAGTAGCAAAGATTATTTCCAACGATGAAACTGAAAAAAAAACAAAAATAAAAATTGAAAAAACAAAAAGTTTTTTCCATGATTAAATGTATTTACGTTTTTTACAGTTCCTTATGGAGTTGTTTTTCAGCATACGAAAATAGAGTGCCAGACTCTTATTAATCTAGAAAAAAGAATACAACTGAAATTTGATGGAAACAAAAAATAAGGTAGAAAAGCCGACAGAAATAAAGCCTTCAGCCAATAAACTGAGACTCAACAAAAAATTTCAACAATTTTTTTTGGAAAAAATTGTATATAAGGCCCACATAGTATCCACAAATGCTATATCTGTAGTGAAGGCATAAAAAATCAAAATTAAACCGACATAGTTCAAGTCAACAACCATAAAGCAGAAAACTTGCAATACAACACAAACATAGTACGACAATCTAGCAGATAGAAATTGAGACAAAAGCCGCTAAGTCGCGAAAAAAGGTTTCAAAATGTGGAGAAAAGCTAAGTCTATCAACATTTTAAAACTTTTCAATCACTTTGTCTGGAATAAACTTCATTTAAAAAAAGTAACATACCAAATAAAACAACTGAATGTTAAATTTGCATCATAGCAAAACTTAGAATCAGTAACAAGTCGACAGTGCTAATTGCAAGCATAAAAACAGCATGGGTAATAATTCCGTGCGCATTAAACAACGAAAGAAAAACTTTTCAAAAAAAAAACAACAAAATTTTCAAAACAATGCGAAATTTTCGCAAAGAGACTCAATTACTTCCCTTCATAAATTTAGAAGAAAGCTGAATCTACAAAAAAAGTGATACGGGATCTAATCCCACTAAAATAAACAGACAGACGAAATCCCGAAAAATTCTTGTTTTAATCAAAAAATGTCCAGGCCAGATTCAAATCCAGGCTATTGTCGTCTCAAGCATATTGGTTACCTCTACGCCAGGTAGGCTGGATGGTTGATTGAATTTGACTTCATTATAAGACTAGTGGAAACACGTTTAACCAATGATTAGAAAAAGTATTTAAAAATAAGAACATTCAGCAAGTAAGCCGACAAAAGTTCGGAGGAAATCCAAATTCCCAATAGCAAACATTGCATTAGGAACACATTTAGATGTTAAAAGTGCATCTTGACTAAAATTGCAACTTCTAAATTGTGAAACCTAAAATTGGAGATCCTGCGAACAAAGTTGTTTACGGGGGGAAAAGTCTAGTACCCGGTTGTAACACACTTGCTAATCGCGAAGGTAATAACTAGAAAACTTCTACCATTACATAGCCTAGGCCAATTACTTCTAAGCAACATAATTTCATCATGTAATGAAAGAAGTGAAAACTTACAAAGTGAGGATATACTCTCGGATTGATATGAATGTTTGTAGCTGCTGGGGCTGCGGCACTGGTCGGAACACTACTAGCACCTCCTCCTACCCCAACTCCCGCCGCCTGCGTGTGACCGGGAGCAACTGCTGGTACATTAGGTGGGGCAACTGGGGGTTTGATACTGCTCTGGGGATCCAGAGGCCAGGAGGGATCCATAGCCTTAATTTTGGAGTCAATCGAGCCCAGCATTTTATGTGGGAAAAGAGGGTTCCATGTAGTCCGCAGCTTGTACAATTTTGCACGAGTCGTTTGGTCGACCTGCAATCAAATAACGCAAATTACAGTTTTCCATATTATGGAAAGTTAGAAAAATATATTTTACTGAACACTTGTACAATAACACAAAACTACAGACAGGACTAATATATAACAAGTCACAAGTGTTTAGTTGTGTAGAAGTGTACTAAGGTTAAATGAGTCAAGCTCAAAAGACAAGGGTGAAATGACAAGTGGGTGAAAAAGTTTAACTTTGACCAACTTATTAGGTTTTGTACTGATGCTATATACCCCCATAAAAAGCTAAGTTGCCTAATATTGATGATATAAATACTATTCTTCAAGTTCTTCACAATAAGCAAAGATCAACGAGAAGTTTCCTCCATTGCTTACCCTCTCGAAGGTGTTGCAGAAGGTGGTTACTATATTTTCAGTGAACATCTGACGATAGGGCTCCCCCACATTCTTAACGATGGAGTCCAACAGGTACATGAGAGGTAGTTTTTGAGTAGGCACCACCTAAATACACGCCCACTTACGTACATACCCTTCTTATTTGATACTTAAAACTCTCGAATTGGCTGAATAGAAACTTCAGCTTAGTCGGATAAAGGACGATAAAGCCACAAAACGAAAATGACGTAGTTGTTTAAAGCCTTCTGGAAGTTAATAATTTTATTATGAATAATAAACTACCTAGTTAATCTCTCTTTCATCATTTAACCGCATGCTAAATGTGAGCACAAAAATGCGAAGTATTGAGCAAGCAATTTCTACAGCTCAAAGCGACCAAAAAACTCCCTTAATTGACATGACAGTAGCTAAGAAAATTTTGAAAAAAAACGAAGAAATAATTTCTTTGCTTACTTTGCGAGCAGGGGCGGATTTGGGTGGGGGGGGGGGGGTTGTGGGGCATTCACCCTCTTCTCAGGGATTCGACTCGCTACCGACCCAAAGGGTCCCCCTTTGTACTATTTTGAGATATCCATAATTGGTGACGGACCCTGAAAATTTTCTAAAGGCGCCTTGGGCGCCAATATAATTTAATTTTGAGGTGGGAGCGCGCGCCAGAAAACGCGATTTTTTGGTCAAAATTTTCCAAAAAGTGCCCAAAAACGGATTTTTTGACCTCTTTTTATCAAAAATCTCCCTGGAGCAAAACAGGGTCTTTTTAGTGATTTGGAAGAGCTCGGAAAATCAATTTGGTCGACCTAAAAAAAAAGGTCGACAAAATTTTCGAAAGTTTTTTGAAAATCCGCCCCCCCCCCCTGTTTGCGAGTAAAAACGAAACAAATTTAAACTTTTATGTAATTTTTAACCGATCTAGTACTAGTTACTGAAGATAGCCCGGTTGCAAAAAAAATTTTCAGTACCATTACAGGCCACGTTTCAAAATGTTCCAGTTTAAGTTTTTTTTTCATTTTCAGCGTATCAACAAGTCGGCGATATTCTTTGAATCGAGTCCCGCACCCATAAAAACATGACCATCTTGTTACTTAGAGATGATCATCGCAATGCATTTATACCCAAAAAATATAAAATGGTATTTGGGGTGCGTTCTCTTAACCAAAGTTCCAATAATTTAACAGATCAGTAGACCAATTTACATAATAATTAAATCAATCGCGGAATCACAGATCTAGAAATGCTCTTTCCTGCACTAGAACATACATTCAAAAACAGCTGCTGAGCTCATGACAAGAGTAATTTTAGTTCAGCTTTGGTTTCAACATTTTTTAAAAATTGGTCGTACTGTACAAATGTCTTCAATTCACGTGATTACGTAATTAAACATGACAATTTTAGTTTACCGATCTGGTCCGCTCATTTTCGGGTAACTGATGCATCATTTTACTGATAAACCACCAATAATTGGACGTTTGAGTATGGATTAGAATGTAGACCAGGATATTTTGGAAAGTAAGATTCAATAGCATGTTATAAAATCGGTACTACATAACTCCGCTTTTAGATGCGAGTTCGGGTTAAACTTGGTTCGGGTTGAACTTTTAACTATACTTTCAAGGTTTCTGATAAACTCCGAAGTGATACAAAAATGAATCAACGCTAGATGTAACAAAGAAGATTATGCAAGCAGCTTAGATTTTTCCGACCACGGTAACTAATGAAAAAAAAACATGAATTTTGTAAAATAATTAGTTTTCCCCAAATTTTGCGCATTATTTTTTTGGATCAAATGAATTAAACATAACTCTAAATTCAATAAAATTAGAATGACTGTGGCTTAAAACTACGACTTAAAACAATATGAATACCAATCACTGACGAAAAGTCTAGCTCATCGAAACATTCAAATAATTTTTTTGCTCACAAGTAGAAAATAGCAAATGAACTCAGTAAAATAGCAGGCTCTTTGACACTTTTTTGACAGCGAGGCAATTATTGGAAAAAAAACTTACAAAAGGGGAACTGCTTACAAAATCTAGTTGAATAAATTCGATATGTACGATAAGCTAGAGCTAAAAAAAAGCATATTTTGACAGTTTATCAAAAAACTTATTTAAGAAATAGAATTAAGAATTAGACATAGTTAGACATTTTTTGATACAAGAAGAAATATTACAAACTATAAGGTCAAATAGACAACCAAAAAGACAAAAGAAAGCAGCTTTCACAGAAGATTTTTTTAAAAGTTTAATACGGAAAGTCTAAAGCTATTGCTTTCGAATCAAGTAGAATTTGGGGGAAAATGAAGACACTGAGCAAGAAATTTGGATGAGAAAACAAAAAACACGTAAGCTGTTGCTCTCAAAAAAATAGAATTCGGGAAAAAAAGGGAAGACACTGAGCAAGAAAGATGGATGAAAGAACAAAAAAAGTTAGAAACAAAAAAAATTAGGTCAACCACTTTGATAACAAATTATTAGAACAACTACTCGCTCGTTTCAATAGAACGAAAGAAGACAAGAAGGAAAAATTTCAAACCGTTTCTCTCAACACGGATTGTCGTTCATGATTTTATGTCTTTCGAGCCAAAACTAGCAGAGGTTAGATATGATGTATCACGCAACCTATTCTGACGATTAATTGTGGTATTTAATTTTGCGTGGACATTTTTTTTAACTACAAAAACGAGCTATCACACACCTGAAGACAAAGATCCTCCCACTTTCGGCAATCGGAAAAAAAGCGGCTCCCGTATTGAATCGAACACAATTTTCTATTGAGAGGTAATTTCAGCTCCTTAAAACTCACTTCTAACAGATCAGTACTTGCCAGATGACCTCATTCAGGAAATACTTTAAGATGTAAGAAAAGTATAGAAAAAGTCTGGTTCTCGATCAAATAAACAAAAAAAATGAAGCAGCTTTCACCAAAATGTTACAAAAAGTTTAATACGGAAAATCGTAAGCTGTTGCTTTCGAATCAAGTGGAATTCGGAAAAAAAATGAAAACACTGCGCAAAAAATTTGGATGAGAAAACAAAAAAAAACGTAAGCTGTTGCTCTCGAATCAAGTAGAATTCGGGAGAAAAGGAAGACACTGACCAAGAAAGTTGGATGAAAGAACAAAAAAAAACGTAAGCTGTTGCTCTAAAAAAAGTAGAATTCGGTTTAAAAAAAAGGAAGACACGGAACAAGAAAGTTGGATGTAAAAAGTTAAGAACAAAAACATAGCCAATCGAAGATTGGAAAAGAGTAAGGAACGCAAGTGAACATGAAAAAAAAAAGACTTTCTTGAAAAAATCCATACTTTCGAATTTCAAAGAAAAAAATAGATGCCCTTTAAGCTCTTTGAATTTCTAAACAATTTATGCTTGGCGCTTTTTAAATAACATGAACCCAACTAGAGAAAAATGGATCAATACGTAAAATTTTTAATCCGCTGGAGCTAAAAGTTAAATTCCACTTTCGAAACTAAAAATCGCTCACGTTTTTTTCGCGCGATTTCAATGTTCGTAATTGGAGTGCTATTTACGTCACTTTCAGCAGATGAATTTCAATACGACTCAAAAAGTGCATGCATACGTAAGAGCATTCATAAATGCATCAATATGTATGAATGCGAATCTGCAGTTATGAGAGACTTTTAAGACTTTGCCTGAGAAAAAAAATCAGCAAGACCCAAATAATTCACTATGTTCATTACTTTTAAAAATTAGAACAACCATTTTGATAACAAATTATCGACAAATTATAACAAAAAATTGGCTCCCGTATTGAATTGAACACATTTTTCTATTGAGATTTGATTTCAACTCCTCAAAACTCACTTCTAACAGACCAGTACTTGCAAGGTGACTTCATCCAGAAAAGACTTTAAGATGTAAGAAAAGTGTAGAAAAAGTCTGGTTCTCGATTCGAACACACTTGCACTCGCAAAAGCGGCGAAATTGCACTTTGCGTACACAAGCGAGAAAACAACAAGAACAACTCTTAAATGGCAAAAAAAAGAGAAGGGAAAGAAAAAACAAGAAATTTCAAAATTCGAACGCCGGATTTGAACCTGGAGATTGAGAGGCTTACGTCCTAAGACCTTGAAAATGAGCGGCTTACGTCCTTTCAACTGATCAATTGGCAAACACTGAGTCATTGGCAGAGTGTCAAACACTAGTGGCCAGTCTGAAAATGGAGGTAGCAGTTTGAAATTGCTCTAGAATATGTTAATCTGATGCGGAAGGAATTTTCGAAATTTCAAAAAGTGGACTTTACATAAAAAACAGAATGGTTTTCTGCCAAATTAAGAGATTATCCGCTTATTATGGAAAACTCTTATTACTCATTCTCTTAGTTGAATTTAAAATTTCAGATTTATCTGGGTAGTTTTACCGAAAGTTTCCGAAATCGGTCAAAAAATCTATAGTTTGACGTCTCCTATATCCACAACGCTTTCTCTACTGAAACAGGGGGATGGCTGTGAATTACGACACAACCGTAAAATCTGTCTTTTCGATGGGACCCTTCACCTCAAATTTACCAGGGTAACTTTCAAGAAGAGTGAAAAAAAAAATTCACAAGAACGGTCAAAAGATGGAATTCTGCTTGATTACTAAAGATTTCTCCAAAAAAAATTAAGGACTGGCGGGTAAAACAGAAAAAAATCCACAACCTGTTATTTCGATCGAAATTTTAACTTCAAATTTGGCAGTAAATCACAACAAAATAAAAAAATCTCAAAAAACGGTATAAAATTCAAAGAGAACAAAATATCTTAAAACCAGTTGGGCAGAGAAGATTCCTGTTTTCTTTTCTTTGGTTTGAACCCTAATCGACATTTTGGAAGGGTAGTTTTTAGAAAAGAAAAAACTTCGTGAACACTGCCAAAATGTCAAAAAGCCAACTTTTTAAGAACATTCCTTTTTGTGTAGATATAAGGGCGTGGCCGTTTATGCAGGGATATCTTCTACTACCTGGTCTATTGATTGAACTCTCAATCTCAGATTTGACAGGGTAGTTATTCGGAAAATAGTTTCCAAAAACAGTCAACATTTCAAAATTTGGACTTTTTATAAGGACTTAACTTTTTTCTACAAACACTAGGGCGTAACGGTTCATGTA